CATTTTGACGGCTCGTAAAATATTTTGACGAGATGGGAGCCCAAGCAGAAATAGATGCACGAAATGAGTTCCAATACCCTAGAGAGATGCAAAAAACTATCGAGGAGGGCATCGCAAGGGAAAATACTTTCCAGTGGATATCGTACGACAGATTAGTTTGTAATGTAAACTAAATTGTGCTTATTATGTTGTGAAGTTAATTACACCTAAAAACATAAACTTGATTAGTTTCTATCAATATTGTCTGATAGGCCCCGCTGCGTATTTGAGGTACAAACATCTTTTCGCCATGGACGAGGTCACAATACACAGATTGTACGCATGAATCAACCGACGTGCAGTTGTGGCAAATATGAGATAAGACACTATCCATGTTCCCATATGCTCGTTGTTATGTCTGAATGCGGTGACAATCCATTCGAGTATGTTGATCCAGTATATAGGCTTCATGTATACATGAGGGTTTTGGAAACTAAATTCAATCCAATACCGCATCAAGACTATTGGGATGATCCGCAGTAGACCTTAATGCCTAATGTACTTCATCAGCGAGAATTAAAACGGGGTCATAAATCTATGTCCCGTATTCCGAATGAGATGGATATATCAAATAGGCGTTTGACCGCTCGTTGCAGTGAGTGGCAGCAGTCAGGTCATGACAGGCGAACATGTCCGACGTGGCTTGGTCGATGAAGACTATGTAATGCTTACATGAATTTCGTGAATTGTGAAATTGTAAAATGGTTGCGCTTTTTAATTATGAGATTGTAATTGGACAGCGCATGTGAATTTTTAGCTTGTAATGCAAATGACCCCATGTTAAACTATTAATTAATTATATTTAATAATGTTTTAGAGGTTAGACCAATTGAACATTTTGCAAACCCTAAAGTCATTTTTTTTAATTTGAACTCTAAATAGATCATTTTTAATTTTTAATTCTTTATATATTTGTAATTTTTTGTTATTAAAAAAAATTACAACTAATATACTAAGCAAATAAATTAAACTAAATGTGTATGCAAAAAAATTTAACTGTAGCACATAGGCCTAAGTTTTTTATTGTATACTTGATTGAAAATGTGTATTACAAAATTTTATACTTAATCAAATAGTTCTTCTATCATTTGAAAATTTAATATTTATGAAAAAATTTAATATTTTCAAATGCTACAAGCATTTTTCACATTTACAACTTATTAATAAATATATGTAATTTAAAAAATTTATACTTTATTGAAACTTTTAGCATTACAAAATCAATAATTAAGTTTTGTCAAATATGCCATAAATTTAATCATCAACCTATTTTTGAAACAAAATTTTCTTATTCAATTTTTTGGCAAATATTTATGTAGGAAAACTATCCACATGTCACTGCACTATGCTCATGGTCATTATTAAGTTTATGTAATTGGATCCCTAAAATTATTTTGAAAAATATCTCTATATTAGTTATAGCATAGATAATGGTAGGTTCTGTTGAATTGTTTATCATATTTAATGACACATAATTTTAAATCTTAAAGTAGAAATATATATATTTTAAAAATCAGAAATTATGGAATAATTAGAATTTTTTTTTATGATTATAATTAGATTTTAGTGAATTGCTTCCATATTAGTGGCACACAAATTTATAATTTTAAAACAACCGAGCACATTTTTCTTTTAGAAATCATCATGTATGGAATAATTACAGTTTAATTGTTATAGTTAAATTACAGTTAACCAATAGAGTTTTTTGAAATAAAAATTAATTACATTTTAGTGAATTGCTTCCATATATAGTATCACACAAATTTAAATTTTGAAATAGCTAAGCATACTTTCCTTTTACAAATCGTAATTTATGGAATAATTACAGTTCTTTTGTTACGATTAAATGAGTTTTATTGTTATGATCTAGTATTTCACTTATACAGGCTTCATGGCACATCTACCTGAGGAGGTCCCACTTCTCATTCATCCATATCGGGCCGACAGTATACGGAAGCATCCGGTATGCAATAACGTTTGTTGGACTTTACGCTTACAATTAAAATACCCTTCATTTTGTTTTATCTTACATGATAATACTATTATTTAAACTAGTCATTCTGTTATGCAGAAGGAGGCACGCACAGTGTTGACATGCCGCAGGGCAGATTCTGGCCTGTGGGAGCATTCGTTGGACCATAGAGTCCTGTAGTATATACTAAGCGCAGGATTCTATGGTACCTACCGTATTGATCATATTAGACTGGACCACCCACTCATCACTACTATGGCCGAGAGGTGGCGCACAGAGACTTATACATTTCATTTCCCAATCGGATAGGCCACAATCACATTGCAGGACGTATCTGTCCTATATGGTCTACGGATTGATGGACGAGCAGTTACTGGAGTTGACCCATCATTGACGAGGGAGCAATGGATAGCCCTATGTGGTGAGCTATTAGGAGTAGCACCTATACCTGCAGACTTACAAGCAGGTAGACTGAGGGTGAGGTAGCTGGCCGAACAGTTTGGTCCTCTTCTAGATCAGGCTCCAGATGAGTTGGTACAGCAGCATGCCCGAGCATATATTCCGTGGCTTATTGGGGGGGTACTTCTCCCTGATAAGTCACAGAACCTGTTCAAGCTTATGTACTTGCCACTACTGAGAGACATCGATAAGATCGGCGAGTACAGTTGGGGTGGTGTGACTTTGGCATGCTTGTATAGGATGCTGTGTCAAGCGGCTCAAGTGGGTGCGAAGGAGATCGGAGGACCACTTGTCTTGCTACAAGTTAGTAAGAATTTTAGTACATGTCAATTTATGTTGTATGACATATATCAGTATTGTAATTGGGTTCAAACTATTGTAGATTTGGGCGTGTAGGCGGCAAGTGGTTGCTCCTGGTGAGCTTCCCATGGGCCAAGAAGAGATGCAGTTGCCACCCGGACCTCAAGGCAGCCGGTGGAGGGTTGACTTCGGCCACGAGGTCGTATCGACCCATGTACTCGTCATTTATAGAGACCAGTTCGACTGGATGATTGAGGGCAAGGTATGAAATTTAGTGCATTTTAGTTATCTTGTTCATTGTACATGTTTTGAGTTCATGAGCGAATTTTAATATACTTGTCGTTGTTGTAGTTTACATGATAGCCTTATGCTGGGGTCCTCTGTACGCTCCCAGACTACTGCCGACTATGTCGGGAGATATGGACGGTGAGAGTGCCACTTATTTGTTTTAACGTGGTTCAGTGGCATCTCCACGATTGTGTCCTTCGACAGTTTGGTCAGGTCCAGTCCGTACTGGATCAGTTCGACACCAAGTGGCGGTTGCATGCGACAGATAGGCGTGGCCGAGCTGGCACTGACTGGAGTCTGTTTTATATGCAGTATATACAGTAGTGGGATGCCCGTCGAGACACTATTGTACAGGCTGACTGGAGCGATGAAGTACTCCCGTCGTCCGACCCTTACATGTTGTGGTATCAGCGACATACACGTCTACTAGTCGGTAATCCGAGCCACCTGTCTGAGTTTGAATATTAGGGAGTTAGGCCTTTTCTTAAGGCATTGGTGAGTATCATAGTATGTGTCAGATAATTATTAAGATCATAATTGACTTACTTTCAATCAACTGTAGCCTAATATGTCCGAATTTTTGTTCAGGTGGTTAGAGCTGGGAGGTTATATCTCTTGGATGAGAATGCCTTATTGAGACGTAATGGACATCATGCCTTGCAGGCCATTGGAGAGATCCGAGACTTATTGTACGGGGCGATCCAGCATGCCCATCGGGGGGGATCGTCTACATTTTGGCCACTACAGTGTACATAGTGCAGCAGCTGCTCCAAACACATCAGTGTCATCCATGTCAGTGCCTTCCACTTCAGCGTCGGCCATATCAAGTCCTTGGACATCAGTGACTCCACCGCACGATACCCCATACATATCTCCAGATTCCCTCCATGTACATCCTACCCAGCATACTCGCATACCTTATGTAGCTGACCCTGATTGGACACCTTCCCGATACATGCATAAGGTTGTTACCCCACCCACCCAGTTACCACCACCACACAGTTCAGCTGTGTGTAGTGTTGGAGTTGATACATGTACATCGCATATTCTCACACTGCATACACACCTACTTTTGTGGGCACTAGTTCGACCGCGACCGCAACTACACATGATGCAGTTCTCACTGACACCTCTCACGCTCAAGATGAGGTCTATATTGAGGGCCCCCCAAAGCGCGAGGGAGAGGCCAAGGTTATGGTTGTGGCGGATGTCGCGGCCGAGGTCGGGGTGCAAGCAGAGGCAAAGGTCGAGGTCTAACTACAGATCGTGATACAGTTGCACCAGATGAGGAAGTTTCACAGCTCACAGTAGTATCCGATGTTGTGCCAAAGAGAGGATCAGGGGCAGCATAGGTAGGAGAGGGAGGGTTACAGTCACAGGCTCCACAGGTAGTCGGTGGAAGGCCACATGCAGGGGAGGAAGTGCCACAGGATACGCATTTACGATTGGGGGAGCCACGTATTCAGAGAGTCTACGGCAAGAGATCGAGGAGGGAGGTCCACGGTCGGGGTTGTGGGACTGAGGGCAGGTTAGGGCATTAGAGGATGTGATATGGAGTTTATAGCATTTTTTATTTATAGTTTTTGTTATAGTTTTTGTAAATCAAACTTGTACAGAGGATGTAAATGTGCTATATTTATTTATTCCAAAATAGAATTTTACAATTTTTTATTCTTACTTATTCTGAGGCTTTCCTAAATACTTCAAATATTCAAATCATGAAGTCACAATTGGTCAAATAATATGACTAAATTACTAGTAAAAAGTGAATACTTAGTTATTAACTAATATATTTATGAAGATGCCCAAAATAATAATTGAAATTTTTATTACAACAATTTATATCTATAGAGCAAGGATAAAGAAAAACACTAAAACAAAAAACTTATATAGGAAGTACTATAATATCCGTCACTTTATAAAAATTTAAGTTAATTTTCTATTTTTTTTTTTTTAAATAAAAAAAAATTACATTACTAAAATTTCGTTTATCAAGCTATGTATGCTTTAGTTACTAGTTTCATTCGAATTTGAAAAGTCCAATTAGGCGTATTCTTTCCTCGATTTTGACCAATTACTAGAAAAAAATTACATATCATATCCCTTTTTTTTGAAGAGAATGCTATCTAAAAAACAAATAGATAATGAATAGTAAAGAATGATTCCTTTTGAACAATAGATGTCTTTCACATCCAACTAGAATAATGAGTAACCTCTTGATTTTTAAATGGCAGTTCCAAAAAAACGTACTTCTATATCAAAAAAGCGTATTCGTAAAAAAATTTGGAAAAAGAAAGGATATTGGGCAGCTTTAAAAGCTTTTTCGTTAGGGAAATCTCTTTCAACCGGAAATTCAAAAAGTTTTTTTGTGCGACAAACAAATAAGTAATCCAAAGTTGTAATAATCTGAATCGACTTGACTAAAAAGGTTGGCTAATTTTATTTATAATATAAAATAAAATATTCCCATTACCTACTGTTTTGGACTAATCAATATGATTTGAAATTCTTTTCACTCTTATGATTTGTAGAATAAGTATTTTTCTTTTTACTAAATTCTAAAAAAAATACTTTTCTTTGAAAAAAAAAAATAAACACAAGATACAAAGGTTTACCTTTCTTTTTAGTCTATTTTTTTTATTTCTAGTTCTGGGGTAAGAATTCCTATTTTCCTCATCGACCTACTAATAAAAGAATAATAAAAGTTTATTCTTTTTTCTCTATTTATATATCTATAAAAGAGCAGATATAAGATTTTTAGTCAAAATTAATGAATCGTTGAAACTATAAGTTTAAAACTTTTTTGTAATCTCATTTTCTGAATTATTATTTCGATGAATTACTATAGATATGAATTAATATATATACTCCTATATATTTGCCGCTTTCAACCCAATCTATAAAAGTTTTTAATTGGGATATTAACTATGAAAAATGTGTCAAATTTAAGTGATTCAAAATAGATTCTATTTTGTGTTCATTGATAAAATCCATTTTTTGTTTCAGATTTATAAAATTAGATAAATGAGAAATGAATCCTTAAAAAATGAAAATGAGAAAAAGCGCTTTTTTTGAGTTCTATCCCCTATCCAGGGATAGAACTATCCAGTTACAACAGTTCAATTCCAGAAGAGTATAAATTACACAAAAGATCGAAAAACGGATACCCTAATCTAAAATAATGAACCTTCAAATTTCTATGAATTTTTATTCATCAATTTGAATGTTTCCTAAAAAATACTACATTGAATTGACTTCTTCAATCTCGACAATTGAATATGAATAGTCTATTATAAATTTGAGAAAGGAAAGCCGCTATGGTGAAATTGGTAGACACGCTGCTCTTAGGAAGCAGTGCTAGAGCATCTCGGTTCGAGTCCGAGTAGCGGCATGCCGTCTTCTAAAAAAGATAGAATAGATCTTATAATGAATTCAATTCCCAATTTCCATTCCGTCATTAAAGGATTCCTCTTTTTTTTTATGATATTTTTAACCTTAGAACATATATTAACTCATATTTCCTTTTCTATCGTTTCAATTGTAATTACAATTCATTTAATAACAACCTTATTAGTCAATGAAATAGTAAAACTATATGATTCATCAGAAAAGGGCATGATGGCGACTTTTTTCTGTATAACAGGATTATTAATCACTCGTTGGATTTATTCGGAGCATTTCCCATTAAGTAATTTATATGAATCATTACTCTTCCTTTCATGGGGTTTCTCCATTATTCATATCGTTCCGTATTTCAAAAAAAAAAATTATTTAAGTGCAATAATCGCGCCAAGTGCTATTTTTACACAAGGCTTTACTACTTCGGGTCTTTTAACTGAAATACATCAATCCGCAATATTAGTACCCGCTCTCCAATCCGAGTGGTTAATAATGCACGTAAGTATGATGGTATTGGGTTATGCAGCTCTTTTATGTGGATCATTATTATCAGTAGCACTTCTAGTCATTACATTTCGAAAAGACATAAATATTTTTTATAAAAGTAATCATTTATTCAATGAGTCTTTTTCCTTTGGCGAATTCCAATATATAAATGAAAGAAGCAATGTTTTTGGAAATACTTCTTTTTTTTCTACTAAGAATTATTACAGATTCCAATTGATTCAACAATTGGATCATTGGAGTTATCGTGTTATTAGTATAGGGTTTATCTTTTTAACCATAGGTATTCTTTCGGGAGCAGTATGGGCTAATGAAGCATGGGGGTCATATTGGAATTGGGACCCAAAGGAAATTTGGGCATTTATTACTTGGACTATATTCGCGATTTATTTACATACTCGAACAAATAAAAAATTTCCCCCTGCAAATTCTGCAATTGTGGCCTCTACGGGCTTTCTTATAATTTGGATATGTTATTTTGGAGTCAATCTTTTAGGAATAGGGCTACATAGTTATGGTTCATTTACATTAACGCCTAA